TATTTTTAGGGGCCATGGTGACGATGAAAGAAGCTCAAGTTACTCTGAAGGAATTGTCAAAAACAAGGCCTCAGGAATAAATGCAATGCCAATCGATATATTTTTAAAAAAAAATCACTGCACTTCCAGAGGTACGCAGCTTGAATCCACCAGATGCTCTGCTGGAGAAGGAGGGGCAATCTCCTTCTGTACCAGTCAGATCTGATTCGATGATACACACACAAAAGTAATAAAAAAATTTGTTTGTTTATTTGTTTATTTAGGATAGGACAGGATTCAGAGCTGTTGTGCATAGGGTCACTATAATTAATAATTGACAGCACTTAATAACAGAAACAACAACAACATTTACGACAGGTAGTTATTTCCCCCAGAAGTGATATACACTCACATACATAAAACTTCAGAGTTCTGGTATCAAGCACAGCAGGAAATTTCCAGGCCGAGTTAAAAAAAAATAAAAAACTCATTGCATGACTGGATGCCAACAAGCTCTTTCCACTTCAGTGAAGTGAGCATAACCTCCTTCAGAGAAAACACACCCTGTAGCATATGAAGTGAGCAGAAACTCCTTCAGGGAAAAGCCTGTTGCTGTATGAAAAGCGTGAGTTGGCGGGGTGCTTGGCTGTGCTTCCACACTCAGCCCAATCCCCATCTCCTGGCCCGCCCATCACAGGACAAGATCTTAGGACAGAGCAGAAGGCTCTGCTCCGGGGCATGTGAGCTCTTTAGACCCCAGGACACATGTAATCTGCCGGTGTTCTCCCCAGAAGGCCCCAGTTCAGCGGTTCTCTCTCACCCAAAATAGCAGACCAGGGGATGCTGACAGCTGCACAGAAATTCCAGGGGAAGAAATAAAAGAAGTAGGTTGCGTGCTTATATTTAAAATGTAGTTCTATTTAAGGATCTTATATTTGGCTTGTCATCGTGAAACACATGTTAATTAGTGTGAAATGCAAAATTATACTGTCATTCTTTCATCTACAAGGACCCCAAAAGCTATTTGAAAGTTCTAACCCTATTTTGTAAACTCAGCTGAGGATGAATGTTATTGTTAGGTGCTGTCCAGTCGAGTGCGACTCAAAGCAACCCCTTGAACAACTGCACCCTCTCCTGTTCTGTGCCATTTCACAGTCTCCAGCACGCTTGAGCCCACTGCTGCCGTCACCGTGTCAATCCACTTGGTTAAGGTTCTCTGTCTCTAATCTGTAACCCCCGAGGAACCTTAGCTCTTTTCTCAGACTGTCCAAATGCTTGCATGCTGTTAGGTACTGTTGAGTCAGAACTGATCCCTAGCTGACCTTCAAGTGGGTTTTCAGAGGCAGTAAATATCACAGACTCTTTTCTTGACTTTGAACCATGCAGTGTTTCCTTGCTCTGTTTTAAGGACTGCTTTCTGGTCTGAGTATAGGTTTTTAAAGAGCACAATCAAGTATTCTGAGACTTATATTCTCTTCAAGATTAGCCACAATTTGTTGTGATTCACACAGTCAAAAGTGTGTCAGGGATGAGTCCTGTCTCTCTACTGTTTCAATCTATATGCAGAACAGATCATTCAGGACCCTGGGCTTTATGAGGAGGAATGTGGCATCAGGATCGGAGAAAGACTCGTTAATAACCTATGTTATGCAAATGATACAACTTTGCTGAAACTGAGGAGGACCTAAAGAGCATACTGCAGAAGGTCAAGCACAAGGACTGTTGTCTTCAATATAGGTTGAAGCTCAATATCAAGGAAAAGATTCTCACCACTGAGCCAATTGGCAGTACCATGATCGATGGAGAAGAGATTGAGGTAGTTAACAATTACAGCTTCTTGGCTCCATAATCAACACTCTTGGCACCAGCAGTCAGAAAATCAAAAGACGAATTGCACTGGGAAAATCTGCTGTCGGGGAACTTTTCAGAGTACTGAGAAGCAATAATATCAATCTAGAGACTAAGGTGTGCCTGAAACAGGCCATGGTCTTCACAATTACTTGCTGTGCATCAGAGAACTGAACAATGACTAAGGATGACAGAAGAAGAATTGATGATTGAAGACCGAAGGTTTGAGCTGTGGTGCTGGAGAAGAGTCTTGAGCACACCATGGACTGCCAAGAAAACAAATAGGTCTGTCTTGGAGAGGGTAAAACCAAGTTTCTCCTCGGAGGCTAGGATTTTGATGCTCCATCTCACACACTTTGGGCATGTGTCCAGGAGGGACCAATCCTTAGAGAAGGACATCATGCTCAGAAGGGTGGAGGGACAGCACAGGAGAGGAAGAATCTAGATGAAATGGACTGACACAGAAGTTAGGGCAATGGGGGTAGGTGTGCTGGAGTCAATGAGACTGGCTCAGGACAAGGCAGATTTCAGAGCTGTTGTACATAGGGTCACTATGATTTGCAGGCAACTCAGCAGTACATAACAACAACAAATATCATGAATGAGATTTTCTGTCCTCCCTGGTGGATTCGAATCATGTGTCTGTCTTTGGGATTGCAGCGCAGCATCTTACCACTAGGCCACCATTGACACAGTAGGAGGATTGTGGACCTCGAAAACAGGGTGTGATGCCCTAGTGCCATCACAGTAACAGTGCAGTCACTTCTTCTTTGTCCCTTTCACGGTGACTGCATCTATGAAGTTGCGCCTTACTATGGTCACCAAGGTCTCAAGTGGGAAGAGTTGGTGCTAAAAATAATTTCTTTGAGATCTCTAGACTGCATTCTGCCACTAATCATTTATGGCGTGGTGTGACGCTCAAACTGGGCGTTGGGAGAAAGGAAAAGGTGGCTCATTCCCACCGGGCTTTCCTGATGGTTAAATCTTTATCAAAGAAGACAAGCCCTTGAGTCCATGGCGCTGCCTGGGGGACAGAGAGGATTAAAACTCGTGCAAAGAGCACCACATTTCCAAAGCAATTGAAGCATCCTTAAACAAACCCTCTCAGGGTACAATTCAGAGAGGTGAGGTGTTGATATTTGAAGGAGTAGATTTTGAGAGAAGAAGAAAAATGAAAAGGACTTTTTTTTTTTAAAATCTAGATTTTGAAATAATTTAGGAACTGAAATCTTACAGGTATGGCAACATGGTTGGGGGCAGTAAACAAGGTAGTTATTGTTTTCTGAGAACTGGACCATATGAACCATATCAAAGGCCAATGAGTAGGGTCTGAGTAGACCACAGAGATGATCTGGGGGCTGATTGAGTTGCAGGAGATCTGATGTCATTGATCATGGCCATGGGGAGGAAGTGGGAAGTGCAGGGGAGTTTCCTGTATGCAGAGAGAGAACGTCTGCTCTTGGGTAAGCATACCCATCCCCTGAAGACATGGAAGCTCTGCTCTAGAATATTCTTGGACCTTGCCATGTTTACACTCTCTTCTCCTAGACTAAAGATAGTCTTTCCCTGGAGTTTGTGAGTTGTGGCAATGGATTTCTAGGTCTAAGACATAGGGAAGGGGCTGGTCCCCACTGACTTGGTCTCAAGTGAATGGAGCTGGATGACAGGGGAACTCGTGCCTGCTGGCTTGGGCTGGAAGAGAGATGGGGCTAATTCTCATTGACACGGACCCAAGTGATTTGGAACGGCAAAGAGAAGGGGTCAGTGTCTGCTAACTTGGCTGTGGAGAAATGAGGATGAGAATGGTAAGGGCTACATGGAGTAGCTGGGGTCTGGACTTACTATCAAAAGAAGGCTGAGACTGCCACAGGACCCAGTGGTGTGGGGAGTGAGCTTTCTCACATGTTTGGTGTCAGAGGAGAGAATCCCAGCCCCTCTGGCTTCTTGTTGTTGTTATGTGCCACTGAGTTGCCTGTGACTCATAGCAACCTTATGTGCAATAATAGCTCCGAACCCTGTCCTATCCTGAGCCAATCTCACTGTCTCTGACACACCTATCCCCCATTACTCCAATTACCATGTCAGTCCATCTCATCTGGGGTCTTCCTCTCCTGGCCTGTCCCTCCACCTTTCCAATCATGATGTCCTTTTCCAAGGACTGATTCTATCTGGTCACATGCCCTTCAAAATCCTTGCCTGCAAGGAGCAGCTTGAGTTCACCTTCTCCAAAACAGACCTGTTTACTGTCTTAGCAGTTCATGGTATGTTCAACACTCTTCTTCTCCAGCACCACAATTCAAAGACGTCGATTCTCCTTCTAGCATCCTTCACAAGTAATTACGAAGATCATGGCAGGAATCAGGCATACCTTAGTCTCTAGCCTGACAGTGTTATGGGTCATATTCAACACGACAACAATATACATTCTCTGGACACTTCTCAAAGACGTCAATAAATGGCACCTTGATCCAATAAGTCCCATACACATTCACTGAGCAAATACATACAAATTTAGCCATTTTAATTCATATTCTTGCAGACAAGTAGGTATATGTATATGCATATATACATATATACTTATATATCAAAACTGAGAATGTACAAATAAGATGTGATGCAAGTCTAGCAGTGGGTAAGTCCATAGGATAAATCTCAGGTGTGATACAGTTGCTTTGGTGGTGTTTTTAGGAATTCAGTCCTACTGCATACAAGGCGATCTGAAGCATACATTCAGCTAGCTTGGGGAAGTCCCATGAAGAAGCAGAGAGCATTTAGCGTTCCACGAGGCAAGCACAGCATGACTATGATGTTCCCTGTAAATACAGAAATGTCTGGGCTTTTGCATCTAAAAAGTTTGAAAGTCAAGCAGTGGTGTCCCCTCTCTGTGGTTTCTGACGTCTCCAGGATGTGCTGCTACAAACAAATACGGTGGAGAAGCAGTGTGAACATCACGGCTGAATCCTGTGTGTAGTCCAGGCCAGGAAGTGAGTCAGAGCCCCAGACCGAAGATGAGCGGGAGGCCCAGTATCTTCACCTGCTCTCCTGGACAGCTGGAGGCAGGACAGCTGGCACGCTTGTCTTCATCTTCCTCTCCAGACCCTCTGCTCACAGCCTCTAGTGCAAGTCTGTCCACAGGGCAGGGCAGGGCATCTCTCAGCATGACTGTCCTGGGGCTACCACTTTCCTGGGATGGAGACCCCACATTCGTACCAGCCCACGTAGTAGTAGGGGGTTCCAAAACCGATGTGGCCAAAGCTGACGGGCTCCTGGCGGTACTGGCGATAGTAGCCTAGAGGGTGAAAAGGAAGAGAGGGAAGAAAATACATCAACTACACCTGAATTAACTGGAAGAAATCTCATCCTACAACTTTCTTGAACAGAAGACTCACTGATGTAACCGCCTGTGGAATTTCCCCCAAGCGAAACATCTAAACATTTTGGTAGATCAGAGCTTCTCACATTCTAACAAAGCCAGATTGCCAAGGGCTAACAAAATAGTGCTGGCCTTTTTTGTTTTACTTGACAAAATAGTGCTGGACATCATTTATGGAGCTGTTTATATGGAGAGGTTGTGAGTTGGTAACGTATCACAAATTGTTAACCTCTGAGGTTAGTGTCCTCGCCTTTAATTCCATAACCAGGTAGTTGCTACATCATTCCCTGAAGTGTCTCATGGCTGCCTTGCATATTTATCTTTGTCTTCTCTACACTTTGACTCACACCCTCTTCCGCCCTTCCAATCTTCATGTGTCCAGCCAGGCTCAGCCCAGAATGGGCGTCTTCTGAAAACCTTCCTCAGCTGTCACCTTGATCTGCCTTTGGGAAGTCACAGAGTAGCTACAACCTGCACTATTAACTAACAACACGGTGGCCATCTGACACACCTCATGGCAGTCAGTGTCTGGACTCTCATTCACTCTGTCTTTGTACATATTGATTTCTCCTTCCCAGCCACAGAGCATGTTCCTGAGAGCGAGGAGACTCCTGCGTAACCATCCTCTTCAAAGGAGAGGAGAGAAGTGTTCTGTTGACTCCTTAGTTCTAGTTTTAGCATCTAAGGAGGTTGCTGATGCTCGAACTCAGATGGTAAATGGAAGACAGGACTGCAGCAGCAGCACCACCACCCCCTTCATGTTTTCTCTCTTTCTTGACCACTAGGGCACTTCCCAGCCACTTGCCACATTACCTGGAATGGTAGGTAGGGCTTCTACGTAGGACTGAGGCCCAGTCCTGCCATCAAGGTGTGAATCCACAAACTGGCAATGGTCTTCACCTCTCCCCCAGCTGTCCCCAATGCTGTAGAAAGTATCTGCACAAAGGAACCGGATGGGCCACATGAACTTGGCACATTACTCAAATGGTCGGTCTATACTTACTGTGTCTGAAAAATGCTGATAAAAGTACCAACCTCTAAAGTGCTTCAAAAATTCACCAGGAGCATGAATGCTAAACGTTTAGCAAGAGTTTAAAAACTGCACATTAGTATAGGCAACAACAGCTTACAAATAGGTTGTTTTTTAAAGAAGCAGGTAAATTGTAGTGGTGGTTGTTGTTAAACGCTCTCTACATGAGTACAACTCATAGCAACCCTATGAACAACAGATCTGAACTCTGTCTTATCCTGCAGTTGGAGGATATCTTGTTGTTGTTGTTGTTGTTGTTGTTGTTGTTGTTGTGTGCCATCGAGTCGTTTGCGACTCATAGCGACCCCATGTACAAGAGCTCTAAATGCTGTTCTATCCTGTGCCAACCTAGCCATCTCAAATGCACTTATTTCCACCGCTCCAGTCCAGAATTGGTCCATCTCATCGAAGGTCTTCCTCTCCTTCACTGTCCCTCCACTCTGCCAAACATGATGTCCCTCTCCAAGGACCAGTCCCTCCTTGCAACATGCCCAAAGTATGTCAGACAAAGCTTCAGAATCCTTGACTCCA